GTCAGTTAATGAGGACAAGCAGACACCGAAACTACCCGTACCGCATTAGTTCCACGTTAATCCGCCCGCAGACTTCCCATTTATTGTGGGTATTTTTTATGTTTTCTTGCAGTGGAAAAGAGCGCATAGCATGAGATGAGATCAAGAATATTGCAATGGTCCATTTGTGAGTTGAAATTTTTTTAGTTTCCCATCGAAGACACCGCCAATTAGGGAGGCTTGTTATCTAACAAATCCATGATAAATTGTAGTGCATTTGAGCATCAGGAAGTGCTCCCTAGTGGAGGATTTTCTGGAAGGCGCCTATTAAATTTATATTTAATATATGTTTGCAACAACCTAATCAATGAAAATAATATTGCTCAGTGAGTGATCGGCATACATTGGATTTACTTGCTCATATGAAGCTTGGTATTATGTTTGATGTAGTGAAGCAGACAATATTATCTGCTGTCAGCAGGGAGTTATTGATCCTTGTGCGTTATGTTCACTCTACTTAAAGGAAAAATTCACCTCAGCACATATAACGAGTAAAGTAAATTGTATGATAATTTGAAAGCTTATTTCATCCATGCTAAGCGCAGTGTGACATCTGACGTAAGTCAGATGTCACAGTCATGCATTTCAGTGTGGCTGTGACAAAATTTAAAAATAGTTACTATTGTTGCAAGTTTGCCCGAAAATGGCTGGTCTATCTGTACAGAATGAGACGTGACTAGTTGCCAGTTTTTCAACCGGGTCGCGGTATCGGAAACTGCTTGACATCGTAAAGCTGCTAATCTTCGAACTGAAGCAGTTAATGGTCAAAAGATGACAGGGTTTGTCAGCTACTGGGCGCAGGAGTGGAGAAGCATCTGGAAGGTCTGTGGGGCAAAACAACAGCCACTAATTCTGATGTTCACACAGGGGCGATTGATGTTACCCGTCAATAATTTAATTGCAGTTTGTTCTCAATTTCGTGCTGAAATAACTTTTTTACGATCTCCCCAGCTGTATATAATGCTCCTAGCATTGGATCCTAGCTGATTCATCGACTCAAAATTTACTGGCATAACAAGATTTGAACATAGCTATTAGTTCTGGTGAAATGTCATAATGACCATTTTTTTATAATTTTGGAGATAGATTGGTTAACATCTTCAGAGCAGTTGTAATACGCAAAAGCAGTCCGAGACGACATTATTTAATAGTTGTTCAGTTACATGAGGAATGCTGTGAGTTAGCACGATTAACGCTTCGGCCACACTGAGAACAATAATTTTTGTATATGGGCACCGTCTGAGTTATCGACTCTATGAGGGCTTGTCAAAGAGTACAGCTAGTGGATGATCAGTGCATTTATTGTCTAAAAATATTTTAGTTTGTCATCCGCTGGTGCTCAGTAAGCTATATTTGTCGAGCATATACTTGTAATGTACTGTGAGCATATACTTTGTCTGTTCACTGACCTCCTTTCTAAAGAAACTCTGACCTGTGTTCGAACACTGATACAATTTACTTGACAACGTCTGCAACTCTGTTTTCGACCGCAGTTACTTCAAATAACCTTAAAACTGACTTAGAGGTTAATATCCGTCAACATGTAAATTGCAAACATTACCGAAGAAAATATGTGAATTCACTTATATTTCAATGATTATTTCACCGAGCTGCTTTTTTAAGTGATGATTTCATTGATAAATAACAGTGAGCTATCGCCAGCGCTCCGTAGAACAACACACTTCCATAAGATCTTCGTTGGTTTTCTTCAAATCAGGCTTCCAGAATTTTTCTATGGCCTATGTTATCGCACGGCAGTCACTCAATCTATACTTAATCTGTTCGGGTCTCGTTTCTCGTCCTCACGAGAGTTCCAGGTTGCTCCAGTAAACACGTGGAACGAAAGCAGTGACTACAAAGCCACAAAGAAGACCAACGTCTAATTCTCGTCCAATGAAGGCAGTCATTGACTGTGCAATTAAAACAAGCAGTCACACGTGCCACGGACTTCAACGAAGTCCTCATCATACACGACAGACGACACGACAGCTTCTGCTCGTCTGCAAGGCGTTGCGAACGATCGATAGCTTCTATAGATGAACTCCGCTAAGATTCAACCGACCCAGATACAAGCTCACAAATAATGGCATTATATATTCATTCATCTGATTTTGAGCTTCTGCAACAAGATGGCCACGTGTGTAAAAATGAGAGAGAGGGTTGCGTGGGACTTTTCTGTTATGTTCCTGTTAGCGCCTCTTTTATATTACTTATTTCATGAGAAGAAAAAAGTTTTCAAATGATAAAAAACTCAAATTTAGGAGGTTCTAAAAGTTAAATTTTACATAGTCTTGGATATTTGAGTGTCCTGTGGGGAAAACAGAATCAACATGAAATGAGAAAAATTAATCAACCAAGTGTAAAAAGTGTAAATTATCAATTATCAGCCAAGTGTAAATTATTAAGTGTAAGAGGACAATTTAGTGATAATCATATTCCTTATTCCCACTAGGCCTTAAATCTACCCTCAGGTTTGTATAAAGTTCACATGTAATTTTCAAAGCGTTATCTCTGACTCCGACTGCACGGTAATCTCTCAAAGCTAGATTAATTATTACGGTTAGCTTTATTGTACACAAAGACTAGAATGAAAATAGCTTAAATCTTGTGCAGCTCGTTCATTTTCTACGACCTCAGCAAACTAATTTTCGGAACTCTTTTGGGCTCTCAACTTACAATGCATGAATAGATCCTGCCTTGTTCGCATTTCAGAAAAATAAACAAAAATCTCATGTTACTGAAATAAAACTGTGGCTAAATCATTAATGAAAAAATAATGCATTTACGAGAAGAAGATTCCTAGATAACATCTGCAAATTTAAAACTTGCAGCTGGATTTTGTTCCGTCAAAAATATATGCCAACTTCATGCATATGATGCAACATTCAAGACTCCAATCTCACTACCTGCTGACACACGTGTTCATTTCTGATGGTTGAATTAAATAGATTAATTTCATTAAATTAATGCAGCATAATCAGACAGGTTGCGTCACGTGCACTGATGAACGAACTCCAGGTATTTGACCATGCCTGTACCTCCGTTGCACAGGCTAAAAGTTTAATTATATCCATCATCTTACGGAATGTCGGAGGAATATTAACGGGAAAGATTCAGGACATTGGTTGTTAATCCGATTATCACATCATTGTATTTCTCAGGATTCTCCATTAATAATTTATTACACGCCTCTAATTGGATGATATGAGAGAAGAAATTACCGCATTGATGTACATCAATTGTGAATACATTGTAAGCTGTGGTACAACTTCTGTAGATAATCATTTGATACGAATGTACACGAATGTATAATGATTTATAATAATTGATAACCGTTTACAATTATCATACAGGTATTTATCTGACATACGAATTGCTGCGAGGGACGAACTGCTCGCACGTGACTGGTTGCAGGTAATATGCGTGAAATTATTATACAAACAACAATGTAGTAATTACGCAACCTCAGTGACCGAAGGCAATTGTCTGCTAGAAGCTTCATATTAACTACATTCCTGCACCTGAGAGAAACCATGTGCTATTAGGCGAAGATATTCACTGTTGTGAAAGTTATTCTGATAATCATCGTATCTTTGATTTTTGATTTTTTGATTTTCTAGAGTTCAAGCAAATTAATGAAAGGCACAGGATATATTTTACAATAATAATTTTGCTTTAGAATTTACGAATAAAAAGTTTGTATGTACACAATTTACCCACGAAACATAAAATCAACCAATCCACTAATAACGAAATATTAAATAAGGAAGCAGTTATTCGTTTAGAAACATGTCAAGTCTGTACAGGTGTCGTAGTGACCTGGAATTAGTAGACGTTTTAATTGAATTATTGAAAAATTAGTGAAATTAGTGTCAACATGACACTTATTAATAGATGTTTTTATTGAAGCTTATTCTGTTAATAGACATGAGTCATAGTGAAAGGGTGGCCTCAATCTTAACTGAATACGTCTGAAACTCTCATCAAGTTCATCAACGTTGCATGTGTAGAAGGGAACGGCGGCTAATAAAAACAATTAATTAGTCTTATGAACAAGGGCAAGAAATTATGAAGCGAGCTAGGCAGCGTCACATGGCGCTGCTGATGAGAAACTGTCAACTCTGATTTGCTATTTATTTCCCCCGCCTGAAGCCTTTCATCCAAGAAGTCAATTCTAGTCGTTAAAGCGATCAAGTCTGGTGCCTGCTAATTCTGAGTGCGCCTTAATTGACGTTTGAGACCAGAAACTTTTAATCCTCCTAGCAGACAAGCAACTAGTTTCGTCAAACGCGATAACTTGAGAATCTAATTCAGATAATTCACAATTCACGGATATTAATTGTGCATAATGAAAATCATGAACTCAGATAATTAATAATTTCCTAAAAATAAAATTTCCCGGGTTGAAAAAATTGTACCATTTGGGTTATTTTTGGTTGTTATTTTGGTTCTTTTTTTTTTTTTAGTTTTTTCTTCATTCCTTTTTTTTTTGTTCATCCACCTTTGAGCCAAGTAATTACTTTATTAAATTGCGTACGAATAAAAGCGGAAGAAAATTACAAGCTGAATAATATATTTATTTCTTTGTCGTGACGCAGATGTTCTCTATCGCTGAGTGGATAAACAAGTAAATTTAAAATTGAAATGAATTAAATTGCAGCACGATTGAAAAAAATCACGACTGGGAAAATTTACATTTCGAGTTATTTAATTATGTTTCAAGTATGAGGTATTGAAATACTAATTATAAGGCCTATTTGCTGTTCGAATTAGAACATTTCTCTCATCACTCTGAAAAGTAGGTTATTTATTCTCGAGATATATGACATTTCTATGAAAAATTATTTACATATAATCTATCGCTAATTTCTTGCTGTAGTTTAAACTAGCTAAAACTACTCATGGAAAAATAAGATTGAAATTTCCATGGCATTTCAATGAATAGGTTTATTATCACTCACTTGTATCAGACGTTCTCCAACGTCGGCGTCTTCAGAGATCTGCGCGGTGTACGTCTCCTGCACGAACACAGGCGCGTTGTCGTTGACGTCGGTGACGGTAACGTTGACGGCAACGTCAGTTGACAGAGGAACTTCTCCGCTGTCCGTCGCCCGAACTGTCAGCAGGTATTGTCGGGTGTGCTCGTAGTTCAGAGACTTCATAACTGATATTACTCCTGCACAGCATAAGCCGAGATCTCGTCAGTGATATTAGTCCTAGCGAGAGAGGAGTGCAGGCACACTACCATAACCTAGTTATACTTGTCAGTGATATTAGTCCTAGCGAGAGAGGAGAGCTGGCACACTACCACAACCTATATTATACATGACACAGGTAATGAATCTTTGTGAACTGATGTATTATGGGATATATAAAATTAAAAATTTATCATTATCCACCATCAGCTACGAAGCAACGCCAACACTGTGAACAATGAAAAGGAAAATATATCAGATCGCAACTGTGGCAGACTAGGTTGTATTTAGTCGCACTAGTGTTTAATCATCAGTCTAAGACGGCACATGTAGTTATTGAACTTTTTAATGACAATTTTAATAATCCCAATTACAGCAAATGAGTTGATCGAACAAAAAAAACACTGCAGTGGGAAATTCTTTGCGAGTCTGGAGATGTAACTCGATAAAAATTTATTAACATTCGCGCAAATTTTTAAATCCTTTTGTAAATCATCTAGAATTTCGACNTTAACATTCGCGCAAATTTTTAAATCCTTTCGTAAATCATCAAGAATTTCGACCTAAAAGGAACAAAACCCGATCCAGAAACACGTCATCTGAATGGAAAATTGCCGGTTATCCTTTGTTTGGATTGGATAAGTCAAGCAATCGTTTGAAAATTACAGTATTCTCCGTACAGTTTACAGAGGATAAGTTTATAATTTGTTTTTAATTTGCTTTTTCTTCTCCATTTGTCTAATAAAAAAAGCAAAATCAATTCTTGATTGCGCAATTTGCTCTCAAAAAATAGCTTACGTGATTAACAGATATTAATCATTTCATTATCGACTTCATTCGCATGATTTAATAGGAAGAAAGTTAACTTTAAAAGGAAGTTTGCATAATTGAATTACTAATTGCCTCTCATATTAGCCTTATTCACCGTTATTTAAATTTGCCATCTGTATCAGCGATTGATAGAATTATTTATTCAACAAATAGTAAAGAAATAACATGCGCCGAGGTTGTTTGATGTCGCAGTTATCTTAGAGAACTCGATCTCATGAAGGCAGATCACGAAGTTTCAGAGCAAACTCGAGTGAAGCTTTCGCGCATAATTTAATGGTAGAAGACAGATGAGAAGTTAGATGTTGGATATCCGTTTACCTGCCACTGACTTTGATCCGTTACATTTTACTCACTTGATTAAGATATGGTGAAGCAATTGTTATTTCTGATGGTGCCTTTGCTCTAAAGTCTATTGATAGCGTTCGTTATCCTCGAAAGTCTTTGGAAGCGCAAGTCCTATTATGACTGAGCTAGTTTAGACATTGAAACTATTATTTTACTTATCTTTTATTTCGATGGAAACAATTCATTTGGGGTGGTCAGTCAAAGTTGAAACTTATGTCTTGGTTGCTTTATGTTTACATCTGGAGAAAATTCGTATGCTCGGAACATTCACATGCTTTTGACTCGTCCGATACGAGGTTGGTTTCTTATTGTCATCCTCTTGAGACACGTCTAAATGTTGAGCAACATTGATTCCGCATCAATCAATACCTAATTTTTAGAGCATTTCATTTTCTCATTTATAGAAAAAAGAAAAAAAAGCGCTATATTGTGCTCGTCATGTCCGTCCATCTGTCTGTCCATCAGTCCGTCCGTCCGTTTGTTCGTCCGTCTGTCTGTCTGTGACTTCACGTTACCGAGTATTCATGATACTCGGCAACGAGAAAACGCGCTTTCTGTCACTCACTGCAGTGAGTACTGAGCTAGATATTTTTGTTATAGTCCAATCACAACCATATTTAAATTTTCATTGATTGTTTATACAATTTTTCTAGGCCCAAATGTTTTTAAGATGTTCTCAATACCTTTCTAATTTATTTATGACGATTTTTACTTATGTAATAAAATGACGTATAATAATATAAATTCCCGATCCATAGCTGATAATTAAGCACGACTAGTAATATCTATTGTCTTCACGTTCAAATAACTTCATATAAACCTTTTCCATGATTATGTTTGATAATAATGAAGGAAAGGAAAAATTTTCGGAAAAGTCTTTAATTCGAAATAGATTTATCATCTTTTTTGACACTATTTTAACTTCTAGAATTCTTATCGCAACTGTTTCTAAAGTTTTTACGTATTGGCACAATCGTAATTTGAATCTTTTCACTAACAGTTTTCAAGTCGCAGCTCATCTATCGACTGATATAAATTATGAAAATACTTGCTTCTCAGTATTAAAACTTTAAAATGACGTCATAATATGAAATTAAAATTAGCTAATCTTGAAAAATGAAAATTATTTGCAAATTGTTTGGACAAAGCGTGTCCGACTTAGCCTTGACTATAATTTTTTCTATTAAGCTTGCCTATAGACACATTTCTGCACGTCGCTCATGCTATGTTGCCATAACACGAGAATGGAAGCTTAATTAATTTTATTAATTGTCGTCAAGTCCAGGATTTAGTCTCATGATCAGAGGAGAATTTAGCACGGTGCGAGGGTTTCAATATGACAAACAGTTGCCGGTATAGGAATGCCAGTAAAAGTATTCGCGTTTATTTATACTAAAACACTAGGATGGAAGCTGGCTTTGTGCGGATTATCCCATTGGATTTGCAAAGATAATTGAGTCTACGTGAGCTCTGATGATACGGCCACTCCAAACAACGCTAATATCACAGCTTTTATTTTCATGTAAATAAACTTTATTGGCTCCACCTGATCATTGTAGGACACCTCTGGTGCTCTAGAATCTAGATAATAAAATTATCACCATTCAAATTCTTCTGAAGATATGTATAAATTTGGAAAAGCTGTGCTCTATATTAGATGTTATATACTACAGGTAGAAAATATCGTAAGTCGTAAAATATACTAAAATATTTGATTGAGTTGATAAAAAAATATAAAAATCTACTTTGTAACTGGCCAACTAATGAAACTATTTTTAATTACTTTAATTTAAGTGTTCCGTGAATGCCTAAAACATTAAAATATAGCCTGTCCAATGGTCTAAATGGCTTCTGTACTAACAACGCCTAGCCTCACGACAGCTCTGGCCACGTGACCGAGGATTCATGCAGCGAAAGATGTAGTAACGGGAACTCACATCCGGCGAGATCTAAGCATACGATGAATACAATGAATTAATAATGAATTATCCTATTCATTGCGACTGTTATATCTGCTTCAGCAATCGGGTGGATTTTAGAATTCGCAGAAACCTCTTCAGTCTTAATTTTAATAAGTCTAATAACCGAAAACTAAAATGAAAAGTTTATGCAAAAAAAACTTTGTAGCAACATGGATGAGATGATTTTTCAGTCTGAAATTCGTTGTTGAGGTTTCCTAATTTTGGAAAAAAGCGCTTGTTAAGAACGGTAATCATACAGTTGGCTTTTCCATGGTTCGTTATCGACGATAACTCATATCTCCAGTGATCGTTAAAGTCGCGAAGTTTTTTCCTGAACAACTTAATTGTCATAAATTAGGTCATTAGATTTGGTTAGCCAAGAGTAGGGAATGATCGCAATGGAGTCGGAAAATCACTCAAAGTTTCGTTCCGTGCGCTCGGATAAATCTTTTGAGGATTGATTTAAAATTTGAGAAGCGCGGCTACTTCATTTCTTGTGAGAAGTGGCGGGTTGATTTCAAAATGAATTATCCCGTCTCAACGCTATAACTCAATAATTGAAACATGTATCAAGTCAAGAAATATGGGACCTTGCCTGCATGAACGGAAAGGATCACAAGCCCTTAACCTTTTATATATAAGGTTTTCAATCTGAATTCTGCTTTAACTCAAGTACGACTAAACTCTAATATACATAAAGCTGGAATTTCGGCACAAATCAGACCAGACACTTTAAGCGAGATTAATTCAAACGGAGTTCTCGGTCTTCCAGCGACGCCTGAGAGCTCCTCAACTTATAATGGAGTTAAAATGCTCCAACTCCTAATGCCTCTCCAGGATATTGAAACTCCTTTGGGGAAATGTCGCTCCACTGACTAGCGATATTGGACCCGTATAACGTAACCAAAACTAAGAACTTTATTTATAAATATTCTTTATTGTAAATTTGTACCTGACTTGCGAGCCAAGTATTCAAACTTACGTCTTACCGAGGCATTGGGTTTGTGGAATTTTATAGCAAATATTAGTTAGACAATTACGGACGGTTACTAATAATAAGTGAGAAAATCTAGTACAATTTCGAAATTATTTTAATTCCTCGGATTATCCTCGACAAATACTATTGAGCCTCATTATGGTAAATACAGTGCATGGAAAACCAAGAAATTTTTCAAATCATTCATCGACATGAAAAGAATGCAGTGTAATTCTTTCAAAAAATTATAACAAATCCGTTGTCGTTAGATATGTATTTAATCAATCTTTCAACGGATTTTTATTCCCTACAATACAATTAATTATAATTGGTTCTTTTCATGCATTGAAAAATCAAATTAAGAGTATAAGTAATACAGTAAGATTAATTAGAGCGTACGCGTGTATTTTATATAAGGTACCAGCCAAGTTATTATTAAGCAAACGGTAGAAGTTAACTGGTATAAGGTATTCTGAACACACATTGCACATATTTTTTTTTAATTTTTGCAAGTGCAATAAAAGCGCCTTTGTCAACGTGACCTCTTAGTGGTGACCATCGTTTTTCATTGCATCGCTCAATGGATGCTAATATTTGTCTATATTAACTTCTATTAGCATTTAACGAAGATTTATTCAGAGACACAAGTGCGAAACTGCGCGAAATAATACAGCGAAACTGTACCGAAGCATGTGGCGAGCCACACGCTTCGCCACAAAGATTGGAAGGATATTGAGTTAAGCAATACGTGAACATTAATTTCACTGAGAAAAGCTCTTCATAAATAGTTTCAACCTCGTCACTCGGCATGCGCATTTGCTGCCTCGTAATGCTTTTAGTCGCCCAAGTTTGCGAAAATTCAAGTTTG